AGGACCTTAGCAGAGGTCTGCGTGTCTGGTCTTTGTTTCCCATTGTCTATGTTAAAGCTTCTTGGTTCTCACATTGGCCAAAGACTATTTGAGGCCTGTAGTCTTCATGCTGTCCCCTTGCAGAAGTAGCAGTAAACAATTTATCAGTGGGCGTGTCTACACAAGATGCTATGTTTCTGTAGTGACAAGCTACGGCAACATAGCATCAGTGGGCATGAACTGTGGCACCAGCTACTGCACAGTAGAGTCAGAAATGACCTGTGTGCCACCGGGACTACGCAGTAACAGTGGTAATGGCACAGGCTAAAGCAAATACTAAAGGACTCCGCAGTAAGACCTGCACAGTCAGATGCATGTGTAGTGATAATTTTATTACAGTCAATGACAACTCCTGCAATTGACTTTTTTGCCTTCATCCCAATTCTTGAGGGTATCCTGTGGCCCAATAATCAAGTGGAGAAGAGCCAGGCTGGATGAATTTTACATTTATTTTGTCCTGCATAGTTTATATTTATGTAGTATAGAGTGGTTTCTTCATAGAGAATTTTGTGTCAAAGTGGAGTCTCAGGGAACTGTTCTCACCTTTGGATAAACAAGACTTCTGAGTAACTGGAGTGAAGATAATTGAAGCTCCTCTTGCAGTGAAGGTTATGGGAGGCCAGGAGGGATGGTAGTCCTAAGTGTGGCATTACATAAGGAAACTATAAATCTTAGCTTTGCCAGTAGGGAATGGTTCACTGCAGGTCTTGTGTTCCATGGTGGAAAGATTTTTGTTTTTAAATTTGGCAATTGCTCAGTCAGTGATTTTAGAATAAATTAATTTTGAAAGCACAGCCCTACCTGTCCTTTAAATATTATCTAAATGCACATCTAAATAGCTTGTGTTAATTGCTCCTAAATCACACCCTCATTGTTTATGTACCCTTGGAACTACTTAAAAGAGATTATCATCTCTTATTATCATGATTGTGGAGATTATCATACATATACATCATTATTTGAAGGGAGATTTTGAAAGTACAAGTCAGTCAGTTGGAATTGTTTACTAACATTGAAAAATCCAATCTCTCATCATTGTACTAGAAAGTCCTTTTGCTTTCCCCCTTGTGCACTCTTCATTGCAGGACTGATATCTCAGTTATATTTTTAATTTATCCGATGCTAGGTCAATGACAGCATTCAAAGGAGACTGCAAAGTTCTGAAATTGTTTGCAAAACACATAAAGGTGAGCAGGTTTTAAGATTACTTTGATAATATGGCTAACCAGTCGTATGTCACTGCCTTTGGCAGTAATAATGTGTTTCAATTACATCACTACATAAGGTTTCCTCTTTGTAGCCTCTTATGTGATTACAAGCAGTGCCTCCAGGCCCTCCCCATTTTCTCTTGTACTTTGTGTCTTTATGTGCTGTTCAAGTTCTTGCATATGTTGTTTATAGATGTTTGTTTGTTTGGGTCAAAAGGGACCTCAGCAGATCATCGAGCCCAACCCCCTGCCCTGGGCAGGAAAGAGCGCTGGGGTCAGATGACCCCATCCAGGTGCAAGACTAGCCTCTTCTTAAAGACCCCCAAGGTAGGAGAGAGCACTACCTCCCTTGGAAGCCCATTCCAGATTTTGGCAACCCTTACTGTAAATAAGTTCTTCCTGATGTCTAACCTAAATCTGCTCTCCGTCAGTTTGTGGCCATTGTTTCTAGTTACCCCAAGGGGTGCCCTGGTAAACAGAGCATCTCCGATTTCTTGCTGTCCCCCACCCTTTCCCCTTCCCCCTCCAGATGAATTTGTAGGCAGCCACAAGATCACCTCTCAGCCTTCTATTGATCCAGGGCCCTCAATCTCTCCTTGAAGGGCTTTGCCTTCAGGCCCTAAACCACACAAGTGGCCCTCCTCTGAACCCTCTCAAGGTGTCCACATCCCTCTTGAAATGTGGCACCCAAAACTGGACACAGTACTCCAACTGCAGCCTGACCAGTGCCTCATAAAGGGGAAGTATCACCTCCTTGGACCTGTTTGTCATGCATTTGCTAATGCATGATAAAGTGTGGTTAGCTTAACTGATCACTTCATCACATTGACGACTCACGTTCATCTTGAAGTCAACTGGGGCTCCAAGATCCCTTTCTGTTGCTGTGCTGCTGAGAAGGTTGTCCCCCAGCCTGTAAGTGTGTTAATGATTCCTTCTCTCTAGGTGCAGCACCTTGCACTTGTTCTTATTGAACTGCATCCCACTTTGTTCCGTCCACTTTTCCAACCTGTCCAGATCCGCCTGGATTTGTTCCCTGCCCTCTGGTATATTAACTTTACCCCATAATTTGGTATCATCTGCGAATTTGGATAGAGTGCTTTCCACACCCTCATCCAACTCACTGATGAAGTCATTGAACAACATCGGTCCAAGTACTAAGCTGTGTGGGACTCCATTGCCCACATCTTTCCAGGCTGATACCGACCCATCCACCAACACTCTCTGGGTGCGACCCCTAAGCCAATTTACTACCCACCTGACCGTGTAATCATCTACGTCACAGTCACTCAGTTTATCTATAAGAATATAATAAGATACTGTATCAAAGGCCTTAAAATCCAAGTAAATAACATCCACCTCAATTCCTGCATCTAAACATTTTGTGACCTGGTCGTAAAAAGAAACAAGGTTAGTCAGGCAGGCTCTACCTGCTATGAATCCATGCTGGTTGCCTTTTAGCATTTCTTTCCCTGCTGGACTCCCAGAAATGTGATCCTTAATAATTTTTTCAAAGGTTTCCCCGAGGATAGAGGTGAGACTAACTGATCTATAGTTACCAGGATCCTCCTTCCTCCCCTTCTTGAAAATAGGGACCACATTGGCCCTTTTCCAGTCCTCTGGCACCTGACCTGAGCACCAAGAGTGCTCAAACAGCCATGTCAATGGCTCTGCTATGACACTGGGCAGTTCCTTCAGCACTCTTGGATGAAGATCATCCGGGCCTGCTGACTTTAAACACGTCTAGCCCCTCCAAGTATCTCTTCGCTAAGTCTGTGCTAACAGTTGGTGGGCTGGTTCCCCCTTTATGCCTATCTGTGATCCAATTGGGAGGTTTGTCCTGATCTGAGCTCAGGAATACAGAGGCAAAGAACTCATTGAAGAGCTCAGCTTTGTCCCCCTTCTCTGTCACTAATTGCTCTTGTTTGTCTTGTAGGGGGCCTATGCTACCCTGTGCCGCCTTTTTGCTTTCTATATACCTGAAGAAGAACTTTTTGTTGTCTTTAATTTTTGTTGCCAGCCTAAGTTCCATTTCTGCTTTGGCCTTTCTGACTGCCTCCCTGCGAGTACGGGCCAAGTAGGTATACTCTGCCTTGGTAACTATCCCCTGCTTTCACAGCCTATATGCCTCTTTTTTGCCACAATGCTTTCCTGGATTTCCCTGTTCAGCCAAGAGGGTTTCTTGGCCCCTTTGCCGCCCCTTGGCCCCCTTTCCTATGCAAGGGGATTGTCTCCTTTTGTGCCTTTAGGACTGCTCCCTTTAGGAACAACCACTCTTCTTGGACTCCCATCTCACCAATTCTCCTGTTCTTCAGTGCCTCGCTAACAAATCTCCTGAGCACACTGAAGTTAGCCTTTCCAAAGTCTAGCACTTCTGCCCTATTGGTTATCTTCCCCACACTGTGCCAGATAGTGAATTCAGTCAAGTGATGGTCACTGTCCCCTAGGTTACCTCATGTCAGTAGATCTCCCAATAAATCATCCCCTGTAGCCAGCACCAAGTCCGGCAAGGCGTTTTCCCTAGTGGGACTGTATACTTCCTGTGTTAGGTGAAGGTCCTGTCTGCAGGTTAAGAACCTATGTGAACAGTTGGATCTAGCTGACTGTTCCTCCCAGCAGATGTCCAGGTAGTTTAGGTCACCCATGACAACCATGTCCCTTGACTGTACGGCCTCTGAGAGCTGTCTGTAGAATTCCATGTCCAACTCCTCCTCCTGATGTGGTGGCCTGTAGTAGACCCCCACTACCAAGTCCCTTTCCCCCCAACCCCCTTTCATTCTGACCCACAATACCTCATTTTGCCCCTCCTCTGATCCCACCTTGATTATGGAAGATGTATATTGCTCCTTCATGTAGAGAACCACACCTCCCCTTTTTCTCCCTACTGTAGCTCATCTGTACAGCCTGTAGCCCTCAATGTTTACTCCCCAGTCATGGGTAGGGTCCCACCAAGTTTCAGTTAGCTCAACTAGATCGAAGTTTTTGTTTGCAACCAGGAGTGTGAGTTCCTCCTGCTTGTCCCCCATGTTCCTATCATTAGTATAGAGACATTTGAGCCACACGATGGGTGCCCTTGGTGCCCCCCATCCTGATGCCCACTGGGCCCCTTAGTACTTATGTGGGCTGTTACAGTGCATGGCTCATGGTTTGTTGATCCTAGGTTGTCACTTGTCTGCATCCCTGCCCCCCGACAAACCTAGTGTAAAGTCCTGCAGAGGAGATCAGTCAACCTGTAAGAGAACAGACTCTTACCTTTTGAAGAGAGATGAAGACCACCCCACCCCAGGGTGCTCCTTTTGTGGAAATGTGAGTCATGGTTGAAGAAGCCACAACCCGCTTGATGACACCAACTCTGGAGCCATACAGAACATAGATAGAACATCCATAAACATCCATATTGTTATTTACCTGAATCCAAAATTACTTCAAATATATGACAACCTCCCCAGTAACTAGATTCCATACGTGGACAATTTTCTAATTATCACGGGGCTGTCTTAAATTCATCTTCCCGCCACTGTAGCAGGGAAAGCAGTGCAGGGTAGACACTTTGCCCCACAGGACTTGTGCCCCCCCCACCATTACCTGCCCTGCTCCCCTCCCCACTCCCCCTACTCACCCTGTGTGGTGGCTCCAGCTCTGACCCAGGGCATGATAGAGCATGTGGTGGCTCTGGCTCTGGCCAGGTGGCAGCAGTGGTGGCAGTTCTAGTCCCCGTTCCAGCTTCCCTGCTGCTACATTATCTTCCCTGTGCTCCACTACACATGAACCATACAGTCTCTGCCATGCTCTTCCACTTCCCTCGCCACACAATCTCCTGCACTCCCCCACCTTCATCACACAACCTCCCCTGAGCTGGGGCTGGGGCTGGGGCTGGGGCTGGGGCTGGAGCCACAGCAGCCATCTGTCCTTGGCTGTACTTGAATCCTAGACAAGGTTTCTTTTCCCCAGAGTGAATGGGGGAAAAAACCCTTGTCTTGGATTTAAGTAAATATGGTATGTGGGACCCAGTCAGATATTTTGGGCCAACTTTTCAACTTGCCTCAAACCAGCCTCTGATTTTGTGCTCGTTTTAGAAACCAAACCAAAGAAGCACCTGCTTGTATTTGTATCCACAACCTGAACTTGCACTTATGTTTGTTGTGCACAATGTAAGTGCTTGCTTATGTGTGCAAATGATGCTTGTATCAGATGCTGTGGCTGAAAATTTGTCCCTTCATATGTTTATATATCCCTTCATGTGCTTATTATCAAACAGGTAAATGCCATACAGCTTATTTCATCCTTTCCTTACCATCTCATCTGGGGTTGATTAGTGCAAAGTTCAATTTCCCTTAAGATCCCCGAGGTGAAAATCTCTCCATACAGTCTGAGAGGACTAGTTTGGAGAGGAGGCAGGCGATTGCTGTTGGCACTGAGAAGAGTCAGTTCAACAGAAGACTTTCAAAGGCACAAATGCCTGACCACTTTTAAGGGGAGCTGGAATGGTATCTGCTTGTTGTGTCTTTGAAAATCTCTGGGGAATAGTCCATTTTTAGTCTGAGAAGTGAAGGTTTTTGGTGTCTTTTTAAGTTATGTAAGAAGAGGTACTATGCTATTTGGAGTAAAGCATGGTGTTTGAAAGGAATACAAAACACTTGTGGTTTTACTTCTTTTGCATCTTTTCCCTCCTCTCTGTCCTTGAATTAGATAAAAGACCAGATGAACCTGCTGGAGAAATGTGTCACCCACCTGGGTGTTGGGACACCTGGGAGGATCAAAGCGCTAGTAGAGCAAGGTGGGAGATTTCTATTCTGACTTGAGCCTGTAAATCTGGTGACTAGCCTGTGGCATTTTTTTTTATTTCTGCTGTCACAAGTGTTGGTCAAAATTAGATCAAGAATCTAAGATTTAAAAATGCCCTGATTTAGTTAAAAAGAACTAATGACAGAAGACACCATAGCATGCAGTCTTAAGGGGAGCCCAAATCCAGAACCTTTTGCCATATAATTTGCTTCTTAAGTAAGCACTTATAAAAACAATATGTGGTGAAAATACCTACCTTATCATGATGGATCCTTTTTCCAGGCAGTTCAAAAAAGCTATACCCTGCTCTGTGATGCATCTGAAGGGAGGGAGCTGGCTGTGGCGTAAGCCTCCATCATCTCTCCCTCCAGGAAGCACAAGAATGGTGGTTTATTTGGGCTGTCTTTTCCAGCAGAGTTCAGATATCACAACTCAGCATCACAGTGCAGAGCCGGTGTTGTTAAATTACCAATATGACTGCTTCAAAAGGAAATGTGATTGAGTAAGGAGGGGCAGAGCTTGACCATGCCTCCTTCCTCACATTTGAGCTGTTTGAGTTTGGTGTTGAAATGTCTGATCTCTGAGGCCCCTTCTACATGTGCAGGTAAAAATGCTATGGGATCTAATGCATTATCTGCACAATCACCCCTGCCATGCTACACATGCATGACAGGAAGCATGATTGTTGGATCGTGAACCAGATCCCATCATGCCTTATTGCTGATGCAGGGGGAGCCGATGCTCCCTCTGCACCGGCAAGAAGCAAGTTCCCATGGCTGGGAGCCCTCTCAGCTGAGGGGGATCCCAGCTGCAGGGTTGCCCTATGGAGCCCATGGCTGAGAGACCGCAGCTGTTGCAATCTGCCAGCCATGGGGTGCACCACAAGCTCTGTGACTGAAAGACTGCAGTTGCTGTGATCTCACAGCCTTGGAGATGGCCCATGCACCCTGCAGCTAGGAGATCTCAGCAGTTGCAGTCTCCCAGCCAGGGGACACAGGTTACATGTGCAAGTTAAAGCTGGATAGAAATCCTCTATGGAGTTATTACATGTTTTCCAGCAATAATTTAATAGCTGGTTGGACCTTTTTAAAGTGCCATAGTTAATTTGCACATGTAGCCAGTTTAAATTAATTGCCCAGTTAACCAGGTAGTTGTGTAATAGATGTAACATGTAGAGGGGACCCAGAATAACAGAAAACTGGCATAAAAATGATGGCATTACCCAGTAGGCATGTAGGGTTCCACTGATGGGATCTTTCAAGCCTGGGTTCTTGTAACTTACCAGCTCATCCTTAGCCATAGAAATCCAATATCTTTGGTTTTAGGAAAAGGAAGCTTGGAGAATTATTTGCAGGAAGACTATTAGCTGTTGATATGCCTAGTAAGAGTAGTTGCTCTCCTTTTTTGTTTAGCTTCCAGAAAGGCCTGGAATTATGCAGTAAAGAATGCAGTATCGTTGCATTCATTTTTTAATGGGCAAACAAAGTGTTTAATTTTCAACCATGAGTTGCCTTGGGAGCAGACAACAAAAGATATAAAAGACAAAAATAATTTTGATAAGCATGTGTCACATTACTTTTATTGTCAAATTTGCACTGTCTTTTTCAGATGGCCTTAGCTTGAACTCTTTGAAATATCTGATTTTGGATTGGAACTGGAGAGATCAGAAGTTAAGGAGAATGATTGATATCCCTGAGGTACAGTATGGTCACCTCTCTTTAAAAAAAAGATATTTTAAATATATGTGCCTTCCAGTTCAGACATGCTTAACCCACAGATACTGGGAAGTCAGTAGGTTTTTTATATAAAAGCTGACTTTTGGTAGTTAGTATTTCAGTAACAATGAAAGTAATATTTTATTTAAAATTCTACATCCTCAGCTTTCCAACCTGGAAGTGGGGAGGTTTATGCCCTCATATTTTATGAACTGCATCAATACCAGTTATCACCAGCACACTTATCAGTCTTTCCCACAGAGGTATCTGTGAGCTAGATGTTCTTCCTTACAGAGACATTCCCTCAACAACCAGGCCCAACGGGCATGTTTCCTCAAAAACTGAAAAAAAGAAAAAAAATATAGACAAGCTTTTGAGGATGCAAAGAGAGCAGCTTTAGTTTTTGAGGCAGAAAGGCTCCCCCTTGTGATGAATGTGAACATGATACAAAGTTCTTGCACTGAAATTTACAAGGTATGTGAAACTCTGTGAATAATGACAAACTTAGAGTGGCTCACAGAAATGATAGCAAAGGTGACTGGCACAAATCTTACTATTACAAAGGGTGCCACTCATTGTGGAATGAAAAAGGATTTAGGTTTCTGAGAGTCACCTGAAATACATACACAGTGAGCATGTCTACACATTCATTAATGTGCAGTAGTTACTGCACATTTTGTTTAGTACTTTCTTAATGAAGTACTAACTCAGTGTAGTAACTACAGTTACTGCACAGTAGAGCCAGGTGCATGGGGGTGTTTTTTGTGACGCTTACTGAGCAGTAGCCTAATACTACTGTGTGGTAGCATATTAGCACAGTTTTTGCCTGGCACGCTACTGCGCAGTATTATTAGGCTACTGTGCATTAAGCATCCTGTGTAGAGCCGCCCACAGTAAACTGCAGATTCCACCTGATTTGCTTACAAGAGCTCAGGATTGCACTGCTGAGATATGAACCTGAAGACTTGACACTCAGGTCTCTAAGAAAACCCTTCAGGTTTCACTGAACTCTTGCCTTGCAGGTAGTATGCCCAACTAACTGATTACCTATAGCGAGTAACCCTGTATCAGGGATATTGTCATCAGGCCAAAATTGTTAATTTGACTGGATTTAGATAGGAAATTGAAGTTACAGAGTTAAAGTCTCAGGAGTCATTCAACTTAAGGAGGAATATTTGACCAGAGTTTTACCCCTTTTCTGTACGTAGGCATTGCAGAACAGCCTTCAGTCACAAAGTGCTTTTGTACAACGGCACTACGTAAGACTCTGTTGCTCAGCAACGTTAGCCATATATGTGACACATCTTGCAGTACTTTGTACTGCTTCAGGCACCAGTGTCTATTATAATCATTTACTTGGAAAGCATGTAATAAACTGCATGTAGATAGCATACTAGAGAGAAAGTGCCATAACACAGTAATAGACATATTTATCAAGTGTCCTAGCAGAAAAAAGGCATTACATGTGGAGTAAATTCTGACTGAACCAGGGCCTTGTTCTCCTTTTTGTATGGTGTGTGTACAATGACAACTTTATTATAAACTGCAATAAATAGTCAGTTGTGGGGAAGAGGGGGTTGCTTTTCAGAAATGGCTTCCTATTTTTGTATACAATTGTAGACCTGAAGTGAAATGATGATAGACAGTACTGCTAGCAACTTAATTTGCAACTCTGCTCAGATTGATGTGCTACGTGTTTGTGTGTGAAATTGTGTTCTTACAACTGGAGTTTTTTTTACAATATGACCCCTTGCCTTTCCAGTAAGTCCATTACTGTTCAGTGGTCCTCCATTACTCTGTCTTCCCATTCTGTTTAAATAAATCCATAGGAAGCATAAAGTCCTAGAAATGAATGTGTGTGTGCATGTCTGTGTAAACTCAAGTATGTTTTTATGTCAGCATATGTTAAAATTCACGTCCTGATTTTAACAGGTGCAAAGCACCCACCATGCTTGTTGCTTGTTATGTTCACACTTTTCTAATTCCCAGAAGGGAGGGAGGGAGGGGTTAGAGCAGACAAGAAGAATAACTTTTGGGGGTATAGTACAGGGGAGAGCTGATATCAGCCTAGAGGTCTTATGTTTCTGGGTGTGGTGGTGTTGCATGGATTTCTGATAAATATATGGACTTAAAAACAAGCTTCTCCTCTTCCCCTTCAGTGGTAATCTTTCCCATTACTTCTGGATGGTTAGGGTCTTGTGACACAGGGCACTTGCAAGTCAGGCATTCTTCCATCTTTGTTAACATTCAGTGACCAAGTACATAACCTCAACATCACATTAATGAAAACTATTGTGTGCTCTTTTGATTTCTTGTCTTTTCCTGTGCACACCCCAAACAGGAGAGGGAAACCACAAGAATCAGAATAATCAGGCTAAGAGGAACTTACCAGATTCCTTTTGGAGGAACATGTTAACTCTACTGAGGTATAAGGATTTCAGTGCAGTCTGTTTATACGTTTCAAATATGTCAGTAGAAAAAGATTTCTGCACTGAAAACATTTGTGCTTAGACACTGATTCCAGCCTGTGGTAGTATCATAGCTTCTGAAGCTGCAAAAGTTACTAGTGTTGCAAGCACCACATTACTTATTTTTCCCAGCACATTGAAAGCCTATTCTTTGTTTTTTTTTTTTTGTAAACAGTTCTGAAAATGGCCAATGGCAAATTCAGTGATGTGTACTATGCTTTTTTTTCAGATTAAGAGAATTACTGTATTTACTTGAATTCAAAACAGGGAGGAAAAAGCCCCTTGTCTTAGATTCATGTACAAAGTGGGGGGAGGAAAGGTGAGGGAGGGGCAGGCAGCTGCTGCAGCTCTGACCCCTGGCCCTGAGCCTGGTTCTAAGCCAGAATCAGTCTCCTGCCCTGCCTCTGCTTGCCCTCTGGAACTTCTGCCCTCCCCCTTCCTCCTTCTCCCCACTTACTATTAAGTGCAGCTCATCTCTGGCTTGGTGTGGGTTCCCTCCCTGGCATGGAGCACATAGAAACTGTGTCCCCTGCCTGGCCAGTCAGCAACACTGGCACTGCTGCATGGCCCAGCAAGGGGTGAGTTTCCATGTGCCATGCTCTGGGAGGGAACAGGGCCCAGGAAGAGGTGGTGGGTTGGGGTGGGGAAGAGGCTGTGGGGAGCTGTGAGTGGGAGCATGCCAGTAGTATGGTGGGGGGAGGCTTCAAGGAGAAGTGGAGGGTGGGGCAGAGAGCCAGGAGAGCCACCTGATCACCCCCCAGCCACCAGACACCCCTCCCCCACCACTATTTTCCTTGCTATAGCAGCAGGGAGGGATAAATTCAGGGCAACCCTTCAATACTTATATTCAATACAAGAAAAATCATAACAAATGTATACATTTTCCGTATATAGAATCTGATAATTGAGGGGCCATCCTAAATTCAGAGTCAACTTAGATTTGAGAAAATATGGTATTGTTCACCCCTTTGCATAACTCACTAAGGCCAGAGGAAGCATTGGCCAGACCTTTCCTCTGGCTGAGATGAAGCAAGGTAATGTTAAGTGCAGGGGTTGATAACCTTTTACTAACAGTGGGCCACCTAGATCTGGATGGTGCTGCCCATCCCGTGCTGCACCCCAGTTCCTGCTTTGTGCAGAGGGGCTGATCCCTCCCCTCCCCCACCATGCAGCCTCTGAAAGACATTGTGAGGGACAATTCAGAGTTGTTAATTTGGTGAGCAGAGGCCGCACTGCCCTGCACAGAGCCCTGATCCAACATTGCTCACAAGCTCTCCTGTTGTAGCCTGCAGCAAGATTAGCTGGCCCTTCGTACAATGCGGAACCTGGAATCTGGAGTGAATCCAATGGCTAGCCTGTAACAGGGAATCACTGGGCCTTTAGTAAAACACAGACCGCAAAAGAGACTGGATCTGTCCTGCAGGTCATAGATTACCAGCCCCTAGTTTAGTCCAAAGAGTAAACTTCTTGGTAAATTGTTCACAACAGGAGATGATAATGAAAGTCCTGAAGTAGTCATGACTTTAGGGAAGTTTCTGTGCTTGCTATAACTCTCCAGTTGGCATTTCAAATACATTTGAGGGGTTTGAAGGCAGGAAATTTGGGGGTATTTCTACACTGCAATACAGCAGAACATTTGCATCTTATGCAGATGAACGAAAGCTTTCAGTTTAAGTGCCAATAGCAGCGTATCTGTGGCATTACAGAGCTCAGCTAACTGCCCTGGTATGAGACCATTGTCTGTCCTAGGTGCCACCTAGGGGGCCTTCTAAGGGGAGCCCATGCTGAA